AGGAAGGAAGGAAGGAAGGAAGGAAGGAAGGAAGGAAGGAAGGAAGGAAGGAAGGAAGGAAGGAAAAGAAAGAAAGGATATAAGTTAAGATTTGACATCTTTTATTAGAAAGATTTTATGAGATAAAGACATTATAATGATGGTATGGAAAAAAATCAAAGCCCAGGTCTTTCACTTGACAGGGAAAATAGTGGTTTAAAGGCCCACATAAACTGCTGCTAAATCAGAAAGCTCCTGTGCCCCCCATCAGCCCACAGTGCTTACATATAAACATCTAAGGAGTTTCTCATGGTTCACAGCACTGTGGTCAGTGTGTGTGTCAGAACCTAATATATAATAATGATCTGGTTAGCCAGATGTGAAGTACATGTCTAGAATCCCAGTACTAAGGAGGCTAAAGCAGGAGGATCTTGCATTCAAAACCAGCCTGGATTATATAACAAGAACTTATCTCAAAAAAAGAAAAAGATCTGTTTAGATGAGAAAATAGGAAACTATATTCAGAATATCGAGAATGTATTTACCCATATTCACAGCTCTTCTAATTCGAAATTATCCAAATCTAGTTTGAGAACACACTTCCTGCTGTATTTTGGAGACCACAACCGGTTTCTCTTGTTGTGCTACAGATTTTATTTTTTCTCTTTTCACAAAGTGTTGAGGATCCAGCCTCAGCACCTTCTGAATGATAGACAAATGCTCTACCACTAAGGCTGCAAGCCTGGCCCTGAACTACAGATCTCAAGGCCCCAAAGCCTTGCACCTCTTCCACACCAGTTCTCTCTTCATTTGGCATGGCAAGGAGATAAATCTGCTGTCTTACCTACTTTTTTAGGTGTCCAATTCACTACTATTCTATTGTTGTGCAATCAACCACCAAAGACGTTTTGCAAAACTGAAATTCTCTATCCATTAAACAACAGTATTTCCTGTGCCCAGCTCAGACCACATTTTCTTTATCCATCTGTGGACACTAGGGTTCTTTTCCCCTTTGACTATTATGATCATTACTGCTGTTACAAACACAAGTGAAAATATCTCTTCAGGATCTTGCTCTCAGTTCTTTCTGATGTATATACCCAGGCATTTTTGTATGCTGGAGCTCTTATATCGGGGAGGGGGGGATTCTTTTTTTTACAGCTGTAATAATAAATGTTTTACATTAAAACATTTTTCAGCCTTACAAGTTCATTTTTCTTATTTTGAAGCAAATTAAAACATTTTGCACACCCTGTGCTGGTGATTCACACCTGTAAGGAGACTAAGATCTGAGAAAGTTCAAAGCAAGCCTGGACAGAGAAAGCTTATCTCCAATTAATGAGCAATAAGTTAGAAGTGGAGATGTGTCTCAAATGGTAGAGTGCCAACCTTGCGTGAGAGTGAGAAGCCTGAGTTCAAGCCCCATAAAAAAAAAAAGAAAAGTTCTTCTTGTGTGGTCCAAGATCAGATTTTGAATTGAAGAATTTGTACCTAATGCTGTTTTCATTGGGTAGTGCTTTAGCTGCACCACTAATCCCCCAAAAATGTTCTTATATTTCAGAGATGAACACTGAAAAATGTACAAAAGACATGACAGAATATCTATAATTTGGCTTGAAATACTTTGGAGAAAGGGCTGGTGTTGTATGTAGTTCGGTGGTAGTGCTTGTCCGGCATGCACAAGGTTCTGGATTCAATTCTCAGCACCTAACAACAACTTTAGAAAAGTACAGATGAGGGACAGTGATAGAGGGGGTGAGACTGTACATGTGTAGAAGAGTCAAAACATGGACTAATATATGAGGTGACTAGTGTCTGATTTTGCTGGTGTTAAAAACAAGCAAACAACTGGACACAGGTGGCTCAAGCCTATAATCCTAGCTGCTCAGGAAGTTGAGATCTGAGGATTGCTTTTCGAAGCCAACCCGGGCAGGAAAGTCTGTAAGACTCTTTTTTTTTAATTAATTAATTTATTTATTGTCAATCATGGGGCTTGAACTCTGGGCCTGGGCGCTGTCCCTCAGCTCTTCAGCTCAAGGCTAATGCTCTACCGCTTGAGCCACAGAGCCATTTCTAGTTTTCTGGTGGTTAATTGGAGATAAGGGTCCCCCAGACTTTTCTTGCCCAGGCTGGTTTTGAACAGGATCCTCAGATCTCAGCCTCCTGTGTAGCTAGGATAACAGGTATGAGCTACTGGCGCCCAGCTTGTGAGACTCTTATGTCCAATAAACTACTCAGAAAAAGCCAGAAGTGAAGCTGTGACTCAAGTGGTAGCACTAGCCTTAAGCAAAAGAAGCTCAGGGTCAGCACCCATGCCAAGTTCAAGCCTCAGGACCAGCAAAAAAAAAAAAGCTAACAAACAGCAGGACACTGGTAGCTCACATCTGTAATCCTAGCTACTCAGGAGCTGAGATCTGAGGAGCAAAGTTCAAAGCCACCTCTAGGGAAGGAAAGTCCCAGGGTTGCGCCCCCACCATCCAATCTACCTGAAGAATGAATCATCCTCTGGGCCATCTCACGTTACCCCATGGATGCCCGTGCTACTCCCTGGTTCCAGGAAGCCTGTCCGTACCTTTGCCACAGCACTTCCAGCTCCCTTACTCCAGTGTTCCTGCTTGCCTTCCTACCAAGGCCATGGGGCCCAGTGCCACGTGCTTGCACTTGAGTGCCAGTAGGCATTGCACTGGTATTAGTATGAGAACAGAGGAACAACTCACTGCTGGTGGAAAGAATGGTAGGGGATAATGACACAATTAGGGTGCGATGCAATAATTGTGGGTGGTTAATGGTCAGATGGAATAGCAGCAAGGGAATGTTGGTAAATGAATTTAGAAGAGAGTAGACCTGGTTGGTAAGTGAATTTAGAAGCTAGAGATCCTGCTAAGATAGTGTATGGCTCACTCCGCTTTAGAGTGATGGCCTAAGTGCTTCCTCACCCTGCCCTACACCTGGGAGAACATCTAATCCAGTGTTCCCCTCTTGTGTCCTTTCCCTTCTTGGCTGGATGGGGAGGGGTCTGGGTAGGTATATAATCTCAGCTCTGATTTCCCTGCCCTATTGTGGCAGTAACTAAGGGTCATCTGATGCTCTGAGTCCTTGTCTCTGGCTCTTTTAATTTATTGTTTTGGCAGGGAGGCTGGGGGCAGTACAGAGGCTCATGCTGTGTAAGCAGGGGTTCTCACACCTCTAGGGGAGCCTTCTTTGTGATGTCCCTATAGCATTTCTAAATGAACATTTTTTGGGGGGGTCCAGTTGTGGGGCCTGAACTCTGGGCCTGGGCACTGTCCCTCAGCTCTTCAGCTCAAGGCTAGCGCTCTACCACTTGAGCCACAGTGCTACTTCCGGCTTTTTTTTTTTTTGCTTATGTGGTGCTGAGGAATCGAATCCAGGGTCTCATGCATGCAAAGCAAGCACTCTACCACTGAGCCACCTTCCCAGACCTCTAAATGAAAATTTTAATGTACAAAAATACAGGCTCCCATATAAGCCCTATCCAGACTCTAAAATCATTAACTCCTGGGACATTTGTCACCTCATATATTAGTCCATGTTTTGACCCTTTACATATGTACAGTCTCACCCCCTCTATCACTCTCCCTCATCTGTACTTTTCTAAAGTTGTTGTTAGGTGCTGAGAATTGAATCCAGAACCTTGTGCATGCTGGACAAGCACTACCACCGAACTACATACAACACCAGCCCTTTTTCCAAAGTATTTCAAGCTAAATTACAGATATTCTATCATGTCTTTTGTATATTAGTCAGTGTTCATCTCTGAAATGTAAGAACATTTTGGGGGGGTTGATGGTGTGGCTAACGCATTACCCAATGAAAACAGCATTAGGTACAAATTCTTCAATTCAAAATCTGATCTTGGACTAAAAAAAAAAAAAAGAACGTGGGTTTTTGTTTTGTTTTGTTTTTACTTAACACAATGCCATGCCTAACAAAATTAACAATTCCATGGAATTGTTCTACCACTAATAGTTTCTGAATGTCTTTTGCAATGATTTGCTGGTTTGAGTCAGGATCCAAACAAGGTCATACACATGTGTATGCACATGCGTGCACACGCGCACACACACACACACACACACACACACACACCAGGTTAAATATTCTCATCAAAAGAAGTTTCCCTCTCTCCATTATACATTATACACACCATTGATTTGTTGAGTAAATGTGGTCCTATAGGAAGTCTTGTGTTTGCAATTGGTTTTCTTTCTTCTTTTAATGCTACTTACCTTTTCTTTCAGATGGCTTAGTACATACAATAAGCAAATGGGATTTTCTTTTTTCTTTCTACCATTTTTCTTTTTTGTTCAGGTAGAGCAGAGAACTCTTTGTAGATGGTACTATATACTTCTACTGACTCCAATCCAAGGTCTGGGGACATAGATTAATAATAGAGTGTTTGCATAGCAAATGTAAGGCCCTGAGTTCAAACCCCAGTATAGACAAGAAAATGAGCTGCATACTATCCAGAGGTAATAAGGTCTAGTCTTCCCATGCTTAATGATGGCCACCAGCCAGTGGGATTCAAGTGCGACAGCCTGACCCTTCCATAAGCTAGTTCTCCCAGAAGGAAGTCTCAAAAACTTTCCTGCCTCCAGCCAAGATCCTCCAGATCTCAGCCTCCCAAGTAACTAAGATTACAAGCATGAGCCAAAGGCATTGGGCTATACAAGCAGCAATTTCTTTTTTTTTTTTTT